ATGTCTTTATCTAGACCTCTATAAATGCCCTTTTCCTCCCAGCTCTTTCCTCTATTTCCCTTGATTTTCCTCCTGTCCCACTATCATGCTCAGTCCCCTCCAGGATTTCAGCACTTCTTCTTTGCTACATTCCCCTTGATCATGCCCTACCAGGTCTCCCACACCCACCTCCCCACCAATGTGGATCGCTTGTTGTTCACTTGTCCCTGGGTTGTTTTTGTTTTTCATTAGGTTACACTGCCTCCCTTTGTGCTGCACGGTGCTTTCAGCCTTTGGAAATCGGATAAGAAATTTTTGAGTGAAAACACTGAAGGAACCTGAAAGTTTAAATCTGCAGCTTGGACTGGACCCTGGGCCAGTGTTCTCCTTTATCATCACCACAGCCAACTCTTTCATGAGAAAGTTCTTACTGCCTAATAATAGCCGAATGTGTTCTTTTGTGCTCTCGGGGCTCCTCATTCGGGCACTGAATTGGTCCCAGCTGTTGCTTAACTCAGTGGGGCCAGTAATCTAAATGTTCCAAACACCAAAGAGCTAGCTAGCTTCCCACAACTGGAGCTATGTTCCTGTCTCCTGGGTTCTAGTACAAGTGGGTTAAGGCCCATTTTCCACCTTGTTCTTAGGGAATGAATTTGCTTTGTCATCCTCCACCGTGGTTTCCTTGCTACTTGAGTTTACTACTTTCAGTTTCAGTTTGGATCTTAAAACAGTTTGTTTCTCTGGCTGAATTAGCTGTACAGACTATATATAAATCCACCGTGGTTTGTTTTTTTTTGGGGGGGGGGTTGGTGTTGGCTATGGGATGAGATAGGGTATGTGAGAAAGGAGATTTGAGGAGAAGGTGAGGGGTGGAACTGCCTCAGTATGGTGACTTGACTTAGCCACTTGTTAGTGTTCCTACTCCCAGTGGTCTCAAAGTCCTGTCCTGCCGGCTCTTAGTGGAACATGACACAGGCTGGGGATGAGACTTGGCAAATTGACGGAGTGCACAAATAGTTTCTTTGCTCCACCAAGCCAGGTGAACAGAAAACAACTTAGCAGGCTACTTTCGAGAGACCTGCAGCAAAAAGTGTCTTTACAAAAAGATGACATGTAACTTTTTTTTTTTTAACATTTTATTAGGGGCTCATACAACTGTTATCCCAATCCATACACACATCAATTGTGTAAAGCGCATTTGTACATTGTTTCTCAAAACATTTTCTCTCCATTTAAACTCCCGACATTAGGTCCTCACATGTAACTTTTATAAAACGTTTTCAAAAAGAACAAAATGCAAAGAAGACTTATTTTACCCTGATTCCGACTCTCCAGGCTGATTCCAGGTGCACATATAAGCCAGTTTGTGGGTGGCTTGGACTCCCCCCAAGTTTGGCCAGTCATATACCTTCACTTTGGATCACTGAGTGAGACAGGAAGTTGCTAGGAAAATACAGTTTATTCTCTCATCCCAGCTCTCCCCCCATATAAATTTTATTTAGCACACAAGATAGACAAGCAGTTGGTGTTGCTGTAATTCTAGTCATTACTGACTAATAGGACATGTGCCATTGCATGAGATTTGGCCTGAGGAGGTGCTCTAAATATAGCCTTGCTTTCTGGCAGCTGCAAACACCTGGAGGAGTGAGCAGGACTTTGAGCAGAAGAGTATTCACTGTTAATAGCATGTTGGTTGCTCTATTGTGTACCGAGAGAGCTGGTTTCATACTATGTTTGTGCATAATTAGAACAACCCACTGGATCCATTGCCGTATGGTTCGGTTATGTTTAGGAAAAAGCATTTTGGGCTGTTGTTAACTGGGGGGACTCAGAATGATGATTAAGACCAGAAGAGAAGCAGTTAATATAACTACCAACAATTTCTTTGATCTCTGTAATGAACACAGCTTACTTAAACCCCTTAGTGGCTTTGGTTTCGGCATTGATGTCCCGAACTGACAGTCATGTGATTCTGCTCCATTTAGGATTCTGGTTTGTGTGCTTGGTGTATAGTTCCTTCTAACAAGAGGGATCTGTGAGTAGTTACAAAAGAAGGCCAATATTTACAAAATGATGCATCCAAAAAATAAACATTAAATGGCTTTTTATATAGGCAGAAAGATGCTCAACCTCTTTCATAGTGAGAAAAGCATTTTAAGCTCTCACTGAGATTTTAAAAACAGCACCCCCCTCTCAGACTGCCAGAAAGCCAAAGCGTTGGAGAAGCATTCCTGGGGAAAGAGAAGCAAGTGGAGAAATAGAGTAGCAGGCGCGTCTACATCCTTGGTGGGACCAGTCACAGGGCAACTTTCAGTGAAGACAGTTTGGTATACAGTTCCCTGAAGAGTTCTGCGCTGTTGCATGTACCCCAATGTCAGAATGGCAGTTTGGGCAGCCTCGAGGGATTCACATTGCGTTTCTTTTAAGCTTTTGGGTTTGGGCAACAAAAGAAGTCTGAAGCAAGAACGGGCCTGTAAGGTGGACAGGGTTAGGTTTCCCAGTGAAATTCCCATAGAACAGCTCCTGCTGAGTCCAGAATGTTCACTTAAAATTGAAAATGACTCAGGAACAGTAATGGGAGTAATGGTACCATGAGGGTAGTTGGGGAGAAGGGGGAACTGATAACAATAATCGATGTATAGTGAGATAGTTTATTGTGCCAGCCTGGCCGATAAACACAAGTGGGATTAATTGAAGGGTGGAGAGATAAATGGCTCGGTGAGCCTCGCCTTTCTTGACTCTTGCTCTTTGATCATCCGACCAGTGTGTGGCTGCCCTGCTTGTTCTGTGCCTCAATTTACAGGCTACACTGCCTGTGGGACGCCTAGCCTGTGGACTGTGTCGCCGTAAGTTGAGGTCCCTTTAAGACCACACGATTGAAATTTACCTCTCTCCAGCTGGGGACTGACAGTTGGTGACCTGGCTGACAGTTGGTAACCTGCCTTGCTATTTGCTGCTGTGCTAATATAGCCTAGCTCTCTCGACAGAGGAAGACCTGGCAGCCCTCAAGACTTGAAGGACTACTAGTGTCTCACAACTCTCTCACGGGAGTGAGTTACACTGAGCCATGTGTACTGCTTTATAATTTAATTGTTCATTTCTTGTATTATCTATTTATGTGTATATAATTTAACAGTTCATTCCTTGTGTTATATATTTAACCAGCTTTATAAATAAATATATAAAATTATCAGCAATCTGGTTTTATCTCTCTAGAGAACCCTGTCTAACACATAAAACCAGCACCCCACCCCAGGTGACAACAGAATGAATGGAGACAGCAGACAGTGTAAGATATAGAAATAATTGATACTTTATCAGGGTGGAGGAAGGAGGGAAAAATGAGATGATACCAAGGGCAGAAATAGAAAGAAAATGTTTAGAAAAGGATGATGGCAACATGTACAAATGTGCTTGACACAATGGATGTGTGGGTTGTTGTCAGAGCTATAAGAGTCCTCAATAAAATGATTAAAAAATAAAATTGAAAATGAACCATGGGAGAGCCCAACATCAGCATCTATTTTGCCAGTGAGAAATCTATGGTTTTCCTCCAGTTTCTGGACTTCAGACAGTTTATTTATTGTGGTTCATAGTCTTCCCTCTCTTGGCACATCTTTAAAGTCTTCCCAAAGACCTTTCTTAAAATATTTGATCCATGTAGACACTATTGTCTAATGTGGAGCAACATTCTTGTAAACATGTTGCAAAGCAGCAGCAATTTGGGTCCACTTACAGTAAATTTTATTTAAAATTTGCCATTAACTGTGACCTCAAAATGCTTTTATCCTAGGATACCAAAAGCATCCTTTTTTTTTTTTTAAGGAACCCTAATGAGACTCAGGCAGGTGTATTACTGAGAGAACTTGTCTGTAGCTGTCCACTGATCCCAGACAGTGTTTAAACACATTCTGTTTGGAATAAGCTCAGGCATGTATGAACTGGAACCCTACTAGCGATACTTGTTAACTTATCCTTGTCTATGCTTTGATCCAGCAGTATTGCTCAGAGGAGTTTCTGTCACAGGTGCTTATGTATAATTTGTGGGCATAAACACGGTTGTTTTTTGAAAAATAAAAGATTGGGAAAAATGGAAATAAACTCAAAATGGGGCTGTTAAAATGAGGAACCTGTATTGACATAACAGTGCCTTCAAGATAGTGTAGGAAGGAACAAATCAAAGGGTAGTGTATAATATGCTACCAGCTGTGTAAAAGTGGCAGTAAGATTCTATAACTTATTTTATATGCATGAGGAAGCTCTAGGAGGACGTTGAATAAAGTAACATGATTGTGTGTTTTGAGGGAAGAAGAGTTAATGAGTATTTTTCATTACACAAAACTTTTAGGATGCACATGCATTACCTTTAAAAAAAATTAAACAATTAGAATACCTAAAAGGATAAAGCTTCTTTTGAATTGCAGTCAGAGTTACAGAAGAAATGTCCTTTAATTGACTTCCTTAGCCATACTAGTTCTCCTGTGGCTAAGAGGAGAGTTCCCCGTGTTGATGCTGGTAGCACTGACCCTGGTTACTTTCTGCGTGGGTACTGGGGAAGAGAGTGATGCATGAGTTAGTTGGTCCTGGTGTTAGGGGGACTGACTGTTAGTCAGTCAATAGCTTTGAAGACTGACGAGAAGAAGAAATCTGGGTTATTCTGACAAACCCTAAGAAACAGGCTCTTTCCCTTTGGTTTGACACGTAATTTCGTGGGATAATGTCCTCTAGATAAACGGATGTCCTTCCTTTTCCCTTTATTTGTAGGAACCTACAAGCAGCAATTGGCGCTTACTATGACTTTGAGAGCCCAAACATCAGCGTGCCCTCTATGTCCTTCGTTGAAGACGTCACCATCGGAGAAGGAGAGTCGATCCCTCCTGATACGCAGTTTGTGAAAACATGGCGGATCCAGAATTCTGGTAAATGTGTATGGGCAGTTCTTCTTTGCCCACACTCCCCCCCCACCCCGCAGTTAAATAAAAAGGAAAGGTTTTAAGTTATGTGATTGTATATCTCTAAGCTTCTTATATACAGTGTTTTCTTATACAGGCAGGATGACCAAACAGCCAGAAATATAGCCACTGCCCTGGATTAGGAAGAATAATTTAGGTCTCATCCTTCCCAGCCACCTATGACTTCACAGCAGCATCTAAACACCGTTCAATCTTCATTTGGTTCAGGAACCAGGCTGCCCTAGTATTGTCTCCACCTGCACAGTCTACTCCATCATTTTATTTCTGCTCTAATTAATCTTGCAGTCATTTCCAGCAGGCTGGAAGAGGTTACATCCTTTAATAGAACAGAGCTGTGAGCATCTGCTCTTTTGAAAGCTCGTTATTTTGGAACTTAACAAGAATAATTCTCTCTGAAATTTCAATGGGGAAAACAGGCGGGGGTGGGGGTGGGGAGAAGTGTGGGGATTTGCTCAAAAGGGGCAAGGTAGGAAGGAAGTTGTTTAAAAGATAAAAGCATTGTTTTGAATATACTGCTGACTTTATTTTCAGGGAGAAAAAAGGTAGCTATAGTTCCTTGGAAATCGTATTTGAATCTGTGTCTGATAAATTATCACCCTTTATATGTTGAATTCTTTTCTGATGGATTGTTTCATTTGCAGGGGCTTAGAGTCCGTTGCCCCGTCAATGACAATTTATTGTGACTGTGTGAGGTTGTGCTGACCTCATGGATGATAGGAATATTAGAGAAATTCTGAGCTATGGAATGCCAGGGAAAAAGGAAGAAAGCAGCTAAAACCATGTGTATTGGTCTAAGGGGATTCTATCTAGTAACCCTGGCGCTTCAACCAAACCTGTAAAAAGGACCTATTACTGTCTCCTGTTTATTTCTCAGTTATTTATAGTGCAATTTTTGTATTCTGAGGCAAGACTAGCTAAGCCAGCATTTTATAGAAGATTGAATGTACCAATTTAAATTGTTATTCTTAAAAAAAAAAAAAAAGGCCATCTCCTTTAGGTGAAGGTTTGGTGTTGGCACTGACCAACAGACATAATCTCCTTACTCAGCGTGATAGACGGCTTGGTGAGTCCACAACTTTATGACACTGTGGAGCATTGATGTTTGGGGAGGCACACCCTCTATTTTTCTTGAAATTCTTATTTGCTGAAAGTCTGATTTTCTTTACAATGCTTAATTTTACCCTCACTTTTCATAATTTTGCCTACTTTTTATAATACCAGAACACTTTATTTAACCAGGTTTTATTCACTGTTTCTAATAAATTATGTTTCAAATTACTCAAACCTGTTGTATTACAGATCACATATGCTTGTGAAGTCTGTACATGAATTGTATTTTATGAGTGAGGCATCTCTGGAAATTATGACTTAAAGTTTCATTTTATTTATTGAAAATTAAACTAAGGCCTTGCTTATAGTGAAAATACCTAAGTAGAATCTCTTTTTGAAGTCTGCTTTCTGAATTGCTGTGGATACTTGACAAGTCCCAGGCTGTATGGGGCTGATGCATCGTTGGCTTTTGTGGTGCTCCCCATCATCTCAAAACGGATGTGTCCTGTGGGCTTCTGTTCTCATTGTTACTTGTTGCCACCCCTCCCCACAAGAAAATGATCTGTTACAGTAGCCACAGCCGGAATCGTGTTAACTTGGAAAGTCATACAGTACAGATCAATCTTTCCTCCAGGTAGATCTATCTCTTTTGAAGCTAACAGTTTTAATTTGAAGTTTTGTTTATACCCATTGAATCCACATTTTAATTAGGCACAGCTTGGTGCCCTGAACCAGCTTACCCGTGTTAACCTTTCTACCTCAGACACCAGTGTCTTCAGCCTTTTTCAAGTGGCTTGACCCAGCAGTGGGGCTCTGCGAGCCGTCTCTCTTAGTGATCTGTGGAAGGTAGATGCTGGTTCTGCATAGAGTTAATGGTGGATAATGCTACCAAAAGCTTATTCAAGAGTGCCACCGAGAGCAAGAAAGGAATTGAGAGTACTGAGAAGATCAAGACCGTAGCCTCAGGTGTAAGTCAGGCGTTTCATGGGTGACCCGCTGGCACGGTTTCCTTCGACTGGCTGTGCTCTTTCTTGTGCACAGCCCAGAGCCCCCACCCTCTCAGCTGCTCGTCCAGCCAAGACTTCCCACCCCTAGTTTTGTTTTCTCTTAATTTCTAGAAAGTTCAAAGCATTCTTTGATTTTCATATAAGTATTGTATTGTTCCAGATAGTGTTGTATGTGTTCAAGAGTAATTGTGAACTCAGCTTTCTAACAGTAGTTTTATTCTCCTCTTGAATCTTGGTCTTTAAGAGGACTGGCATTTTCTAAGCTTCAGGTCAGCTTCTGTTTTTCTTGACCAAAGACAAATATGCTTTTACCCAGAAATGAAAAATTGCCAGCTGTGGCTGCCTTTCATAATGTTACCTTTAGAATGCACTTTGCTGGGCAGGTTTTTTCCTGATTTAAACTGGGATGGCAAAATGTAGTGTCGGCTGTTATCCCTTAAGGACTACGGAGGGCACTGTTCATTTTGTGGCCAATATCTCAGCAGTGGAGCTCTGGCGGCTTTCTCTCTCTGGCTCCTTGTCAGTAGTGAGCCATCAGATACATCAGAACCAGCTGGTGCCATGTGAGAGGCGAGCTGAGGCGTCCCAGAGTATGGCCAGGCGGTGAATTAGACATGTACTGGGTCCTGAGAGTTCAACTAGGTCCACATCTTAACACTGATTTATTTTTATAATGAACTTAAGTGTCCCCAAGAGGGATACAGGGATTCCTGCCTACAGTAGAAAGGAGCGGAAAAATCTGTATGTATTGGAGAGACTTCACAAAGATTCCGTCTAGTCACTCGGCTTGGCTGGATCGAATAAGTCAGTGCATGGAGTTCTTCTTTTAAATTCACTGACAAGAAAGCTGCTCAGGAATAGGTAACATAAGATTTTTCTCTGTACTGTCTCTCCTGTTCATTGCACAACACCTCTGGCTGCTGCTATCACCTGTAAGACCCCAGTTCATGGAATTGCTATCTGGGGAGTTCTCCCCACCACTATTTGAACATAACAGCTAACGTTTCACTGGACTCCACCAGTCTGTGTAGAGTCTCCTGTGGGCCTAAGTCATTTTATAGGTAAAGATCCCAGAAGAAAAGTCAAACAACGGGCAAAAAACCGCCAGTATTTAAATTGAGGTTATCATAGAAGATACCCTTTATGAACTGAGACAGTTTTACCCTGAGTGTCGGTTAGAAAGCCCTCCCCAAGAGGCGGAGCGCTGTAATCTCCCAGGCTCCTCCCAGCTGTCATAGGTGGGCACTGCAGATTGAATGGGTGTGGGCTTTCCCTGGGTCGTGGAACTGCAGCTCTTCCTACAGAAGAAGTGCTTCACCTAACGAGCATCCTCTGAGGACCACCTTGTTGGTCAGAGGTTCTTGTCTCAGATGCTGATTCCTTCTGATCGGTTACATGCGATGCCAGAACTCAAGGATATGGGTAGTTTTCTATGTATACGAGAGAGGAGAAACCTTTGCAGAGTTTTGTAATAAACGTCACCTAAAATAGAACCACTGATTGCCTATTTTCCCCCCTTCCTTTTGCTTAAACTCAGGGGCAGAGGCGTGGCCTCCAGGGGTTTGTCTTAAATATGTCGGGGGAGACCAGTTTGGACATGTGAATATGGTGATGGTGAGATCGCTGGAGCCCCAAGAGATTGCAGATGTCAGCGTCCAGATGTGCAGCCCCAGCAGAGCAGGAATGTATCAGGGACAGTGGCGGATGTGCACTGCTACGGGACTCTACTACGGAGGTGAGTATGTCTTTTTGTAGTCCGGGTGAGGAATTAAGATATTTTCGTGTTGTCCACAGAATGTCAGAGACACACACTGGCCATGCTGACTGCCTTAGTTACCTAGTGCTGCCGTAAGATAAATGGGTGGTGTTCACAAACTGTTACCGTATAAACGCAAGTCTATACGGTGTTTATTCTCTTGCTGTTTAGGAGGCCAAATTCAGGGTGCTGGTCCTAGAGAAAGGCTTTCTCTGTCTGTTCTATGGGATGTTCCTCCTCTTCCTTCAACATCTGTGGGCCCAGATACCTGGAAAATCTCTCTGTGTCTTAGGAGCTTCTCAGCACAGTCCCTGCGCCCACAGAACACACACACCACTCCTCTCTCCTTTCTTTGTGGTACTCACATTGCCATCCAGGCGATGCCTGCTGAGAGCAGGCTTACAGGACAGGGTAGAAACTGCCTTGTAAGTTTCCAAGACTGTAACTGTTTGTGGGAGGTAGAAAGCCCCCATCTTTCTCCCATGGAGCAGCTGGTGGTTTCGAACTGCAGACCTGGTGGATCGCAGACCACTGTGTAACCACTATGTCATCCTGAGACTCTGCCTCCTTGTTTAATCTCTTTCATCTGAAAAGAGATTGACTCAAAATACAACCTAATCTTGTAGAATAAAACCTGCCTCATTAACATAACTGCCTCTAATCTTGCCCCATTCACATTATGGAGTTATTAGGATTTGCAGCACATCATTTAATTACAGAAATAAATAATTATACAATAACCCATTGCGCTACCAGGGCTCTTCCTTTTACATTCTGTAGGAATGTAATTAAAATTTAGTCAAGGGTATGAGATATTCTTCATTCTAAACAGTGATGTAGTAGTGTTGTGGTTTTTCTTATATGATCTATTAGGTGCTGTAAGAATATTGATGGCAGTTCCTTTTCTGTAGACACAAATGAAAAACGCATGTACAAGCTGTGTGAGACTGACCTCTCACTCCTTGCCTTCATTGCCGGGCTTTTTGAACAGAATGCTCTGTGCTCATGGTCTCCTCTCCTCCAGTTTCCATTCACTTCAACCCAATGTATCCTTTCCCTACTCCCATGAAGCTCTTTGGACAAAGATTATCGATGACTACCCTCTTTCCTAACCCAATCACCTTTTATCGTCTCTGTATTCATTGGCCCTCTAGTACTTGGCACCATACTCTAAAATGCTTTTGAAATGTGTTCCTCTGTAGTCTGAAGTGACACTATACTCTAAAATGCTTTTGAAATGTGTTCCTCTGTAGTCTGACGTGACACTTTTCTGTTTCTCTTCCTTCCCTCTGGAAGTTCTTCCTTTCTCTATATGAAGTCTCTTCTTTTTCCTGGGCTTGCTCTGTTCTGTTCTGAGCTGAGCTGAGCCCCATCCATGCTTGGTCATCTAAGCCATCCGTGGCTTATGGTGTTACTAGCACACCCATGCACAGTGATGCTCAAATTCACACCTGTCTTTAGCCTTTCTCAGACAAAACGTACGCCTTTCTTCAAAGCCATTGCACCGGTCACCTCAGCTGCAGGGTCCCGTCTCTCTCTCCCGGGTTGGGTGCCATCACACTGGTTCTGGCTCAGAGCAAGCCTGTGGCACCCACCAATGTGGGGGTACGATGACTATTTCTTTCATCTTGTTTTGATTTTTCCTGCATCATTGAGTATTTTGCACATGGAAGCCTTCTATTTTACAACCTAAGGCTTGAATAATTGCTTCAGTTCTTTCAGCTTGAGAAACCCTCTTGGTTTTCTAATTCTTAATTCTTTGAGCATTTCATTATAATACCAGGGGGATTCAAAAGCTTCTTGGGAAAATGGAATTAAAACAAAGCTCTCTGGCATTGTCCACTCAAGCCTTCAGTTCAGCTCTTGTACTCATTTGTTCAGTTTGCTTTAGCTATTTCACACTCAAGAGCAAGGTTCAGAGTTTCCTGGCCTCTGCTTTGGCTTCTCTCCCTGTCCTTTTGTCCTTCCTCCCTCCAGCCCAGTTCTTATTAGGACCACTCTGTCACGTTCCTGGAGATCCCGAGAGGAACAATCAGTAAATAAGGAGTTCCTGGTCTCACACCTCTCTTAACTGAACTCCTGCCGTCTAGGCCAGTAAGACCTTTGGAGTTCCTTCAGGGCAACCTGGAATACATGTTCTTGATGTGTTTCTGCATCTAGTGGACATTTTGATTATCTTTCCAATCTCAGAATCTTTCCATGTTAAGAGTGTCTCATGTGGCTTATGTGACAGAATTTCCTTGTTTGTGCCCATTTCCCTTTGCGCCTATTATAAGAAAGTCAGAAGCCAAGTTCCTTGCTGTATGACTTGACCCCATTTTTGCTTTAATCTCTGTCACCTGTTAACTCGCCTACAACCTTCCCTGAAGCCCCACGTGCTTCCGCTTCTCTGCCATTGCTCATGCTGGTCCCAGTATCCAAGAGAGCTCGTTCCTTCGTTTCCCCCAGGAAAGGTACCTGACTCTGAACCTTTCCCTCTCCTTCCTTCTTTCTGTCCAGTCCCTTCTTCCCCAAACCCACTCTCTTCACCACTCTAAGGAAATTGCCTCTCCCCTTTTCATGATTATTAAGCACATGTTTTGTTATGCTTCCTATATTGTATCTTAGGAATTTATTTACTTAGCCTTTTCTCCCACCATCCTGTGAACAATTTATTGGCTAGCAGGTGAACATGCAATCACGTTAGGATGCAGATTGATTATTGTCTCCTAACCTGCTTATGTTGGCCTGCCTTCCTATTCTCACCCCCATCGCACCACGTCTAGGTCTCGCCCTGCCCTTCAGGGCTTCGTTCTCAGTCCGCCTCTGCTAAGAATCTCCTTACCTGCATGTCTAGAAGTAGTTTCACTCATTGCATTCACTCTTCACCTCTCCTGTTTGCCTTTCACTTAGAGGTTACTCTGTGTGGCATTTCTCTTAGTTCTTTGTGTCCTTTTGCCTTTTGCCTCTGCCTTTATAAATTCTCTCTCTCTCTTTTTAAATGTTAGACTCAGAGGGGCTGCCTCATTTGCTTCTAGAAGATCCTTCATAGGATTTCTCTGTCTCAGTTCTGGTAATCTAGATTTCTCCAATATCAGAAACATGAGTAGTCCTTGAAAACAATAGATTTCTTTTTGATAGAAACACTAGCCTAAGCTGAGTGTGATTTGTAGCGGAAGTATTTAAAGAACCCCACCCTCTGCCATCGAGTCAATTGCAACTCATAGCGACCCAGTAGAACAGATTAGAACTGCCCCTCTGGGGCTCTAAGACTAAGTCTATAGAGGAGGAGTAGACAGCCTCATTCTCCTGCAGAGTGCCTGTGGTGGGTTTGAACCTCTGACGGCCTGGTTAGCAGCTCCATGCGTAACCCCACTACACCAGCAGGACTCCTAGGGAAGTATTTTAGGGAGGGAAGTTCTAAAATGTAAATGGGATCAGAAATCCTGGGGCTTATGCTCATAAGCTTGCCTGTGGCATTTATAAACTGGTAGACTAGGTCGCTTTCAGAGAATAAAGCCTGCCAAGGGTTGCCCTGTCACTAGGTGGGGGCAGCTGCTGGTGGTTAGATCAGGTAATGCCAAATTAGGCAGAGGCAGCCAGACACGGCTGTCCCCTTCAGTTTAACCTCAAAAAGCGCACATATGTGTGAGCTGAACCTCTAGAGCAGGCATCCTCAAACTACGGCCCGCGGGCCTCATGCGGGCCGCCCAGGACATTTATCTGGCCCATCAGGTGTTTTTGCCGTTTGTTTTTTACTTCAAAATAAGGTATGTGCAGTGTGCATAGGAATTTGTTCATAGTTTTTTAAAAAACTATAGTCCCGCCCTCCAACGGGTCTGAGGGACAGTGAACTTGTCCCCTGTTTAAAAAGTTTGAGGACCCCTGATCTAGAGTGTGAGAAAGAAAGCAGAAGCAGATTGATCAAGTGTAGTAATTAACAACACTTGAAGGGACCTTCAAAAAGTTAGTAGAAAAATAGAATTAAAGGAGTGGAATTTTTCCAAGAACTTTCTGAAGCTTCTCCTATTTGTGCATTAGGAATGAGGTATCACCTTTTAATTACTTTTGCCATTCAGCTGTGGGTAGTATTAATACCTGCTGTAAATACTAACCCTGTTGGCTTTTAAAAAAAATATCACTCTTGTGTTCCCCCAACCCTAAGAAAAAGATAAGATTAGCTATTGGGCAGAAGGGCACAAACATACTTTGAAAGCTCCGTAATACCGTCATTATGAGCCAAAACCTACTCTGTGGCAGAGGTTTGCTTTTATGTACAACCCTAAACATGCATGCAGCCTTCCTATCCCTCAACCACATTTGGGATCTTTTTGCCTTTCTCTTGGGGAATAAAGGTGGGGGTGGGGAATTTCCCATATGCCATTAGAAGGTTGATTTAAAAAAACCACGTACGTGGTTCTTAAGTGGCAGCAATATTAATAAGTGTTACTGCTCAATGATAAATTTTTTTGATAGGAGAGCAAGGAGCTGGGCCACTATTACATTAACTGAGCATGGTGATTATACAGTGCATCTGATTTTATAAGTAATAAAGGCGAAAGTGCCAGGGTTGAGGAGACATGAGCCTTGTTTCCTTCACAAAAATGTCGTTATATATGCTGAAACTCTTAAAACGGTTTTGCCAATTTTACTTAGTGCCATTATATGTACTTGTCACTGAGTGGATTAGATTAGACCTGATCACTTATAAATGAGACAGAAAGCATAATAGAAATTTGTTCATGAAGCAAGGAAATGATATTTCATTGTGTTGTATTCAAACAATGGAGGGTAACTTATTTCTCAATATGTGCTGTTAAGTACAGAAAAATAATTGATGTGTAAGGCTTCTACGCATTATCTGCTATCTTAGTGTTTGTGATAGTTTGTATTCCTTAATTATTGCTCAGACTGTAGCCATAATTTTATTTTTAGAAACCTCCCATTAGCCTTGTAGTTTGAGGTGGGGATCTTTGAAGAGGATAATCTCTCAGTACAAA